AGGTCGTCTCGGGACGAGCAAAGCTACGGCGAAGCTACCGTCGAGGGGATGGCCTAGTCGTTCCAGCCACCGAAGCGGCTGCTTTTGTACGAATTTTGAGTGACGGGTTAATCTTCTATAATCTTGTGGGGAGACAATAGCTACTTCTGGAACACTCAAAAGGGATTCTCGGGAAGACGGGAGTTTTTCCTTCCCCTCTTCTCTCGTCGTGGCCGGAGGCGAGACACTCACCGTCACTAGCTGTCAAGGTTCCTAGACGGGCATTACAAGCGAGGCGTTAGCGACATCCACCAGGTCTCTAAGCTAATTGTTTAATTCGTTTTAAAATTCCTTTTCGTGACTTTTTGTAACAAGATATTGGTGTGTTTGATGTGATACTGCTCCTTTGAACACATATAGGCTATAAAATAAGCGCCGAATTTTCATTGTAGTATCCCTTTAAATGGGTAGGGAAACGAAATTCCAGCGCTCATTTTCTAGCTTGAATGTGTTGCATGTTGCACCCTAACCTCAAAAACACCAGTCTTCCGTTGAAAAGCACAAGAAAACTAATTTTAAAGCTAAACAAACGATCTTTCAAAGTGCACCTGGTGGATGCATGCGGAGCCTATTTGGGAGGTAATCTAGCAACGTTGGGGAACTTGCTACGTTGTCGTGACGTAGCAGTACAGTGTACTATAATATATATATATATATATATATATATATATATATATATATATATATATATATATATATATATTTTAGTATTACAGTGGCCACTGTACTAGTATCAACTTGGGTAGTGTTGGGACCGGACCGGAGGGGCTTGCCTGAAGCGCGCGGTATTGATCGCGACAGGTGTCGACACCGGCGCGTTATCCAGAAGGTGTGCGCATGCGCGGCTGCACGCACGAAAATATGAATTTGGTGCCGCTTTGGTAAAGTGCACATAGGATTTCTGATACAGCTACATCCTGCCAGCGGTCGTACCGCGGCATCAATTACGCTGCATCACGATCGTTAGCAAAATGATGCTTCAATCTATTGGACGGTACAAGCTACATTACCCTTCCTTTACATAAAAACAATTGCGACTGTAAAGAAGCGGTCTGCAAGTTGTTTCAGCTTAAGCGCGAAACACATGTACGACGAAACCCTCCGATCCGACGTCCGACCGCGCAATACGACGGTCGGAGGCGAGGGTTTTCAACGCTCTCCGATGCTACGAAAACCCTCTCCCCCCAAGGTCATTCCGGCAGTCCTCACGTCGGATCGGAAGGTTTCGTCGTACATGTGTTTCGCGCTTTAGAATTAGCTGCGACTTTCTGCTTGTCGAATGGTGAGCATTTTAAATGAAGTGCCTATTTCCTTGAGTCGCAAAGGCCGAACATTTGATATTTGAAAGGGATATCTAAAACTCAAAAGCAGTTTTTTTTTCTTCCCTATCTTATTTTATAATGGAACGAACGGCGCATACTAAAGTCCGAGATTGCTTTAGTATGTTTTTAATACCCCAGGTTAACTTCTCCGTCTTCTTTTCAGCCCGTCTCCTTTTCTTGACCTTAATCATCTCGCTTCACTTGTCACTCATTCTTGAGTTCATTTATGGGACGAACAGCCGAAGCGACGGTCGCAAAGGGTGAGAATATTTTATTTCTTCATGGCTGCCACGACCATCCGAGGACCACCCGACGTTCACTTGTAAGAAATGGCTTATAAGTCGTGACAATTTTTATCACGCGTTTTAACATTGAACTTGAGTCCAAAAACTGAGACAACGTGGGCTGAACAAGTAATGCTTTATAAGATTCAAAGAAAACAAGCAACTATTTCACATCATTTTGAGCAGAAAACATGAACACACGTGGATCAGGCAAGGAAAAAGTTGTAATAGCTTACAGCACGGCATTGAAATACATGATTACAATGTGGGTTGCATACATGGTTACAATGCGCAGCGCATTCATGGCCCTGAAGGTATACTTGGCATACCACATCAGGTAAGTTGTCGAAACAAATGAACACCGCCCTTTCGATGCTGCTCTTGTTTGACTTCGGCTCAAGAGCCGTCTCCAAATAAGCCACACCGTCGAAGTTGCTAAACTTAATGTGAACAGCCCAGTAAGGAATTGGCACATTTAGAGAGCCTAGTGCGTCGCGATCGATGCCTTGTGGGATCACGGCAGGAGCTTCGCTATTTACCACTGGTGACAACGAGTCAGTTTCCCAAACGAGCCCCGAACGCTTTGCAACGATGGGCTTTGGTGAACTTGCCTTCCGCTTCCTTTCCTCCCGTCCTCCGGAGAGGTCATCACTCAGGTCCTGGGGTACACTTGGCAGCAGAGTGGGTACCGCGTCTGGCGTAAGCGCTGGGTGTCCACGAGGGATCCCCACTTCCTTTCCGCCGATGATATGGACGAAGTCTGGAAGGATGAAGCGGGCTCGAAGTGCAGCTCGCATGCAAACAGCGCTTGTTTCTTCAAGACGCTTGTCCGATCGCTGGAGATTCTCCTCACAAAGATCTCTTTTGGCTCTGTCCTTTGGAACACCGAAAAGGGACGCCGTTTTCACTCCTTTCACTCGGATGAGGCCCGTTTTGAAACCATGGTGCAGAGCAAGAGTTCTGTCGCTGTTTCGCCGACGGCATTTTGGCACTACCCTCAAGCGGGTTTCACATGCAGCGATTTTGGCCCTGGAGCGGCGCGATTTCTGCCGTCGCGGCGCTCGTGCCGCTCAACCGCTGGTGCTGGCCAGAACGCCGCGACGGCAGAAATCGCGCCGCTCTAGGGCCAAAACCGCTGCATGGGAAACACGCTTCAGGGGTATTCACACGAGGGAGAAATCCCGGGGATTTCTCCCCGGCACGCGCATCCCACGACGAAAACGCCAGGCTTTGCGATGTGCAAAAGCCTCGCGTTTTCATCTCGTGATGCGCGCGTGCCGGGGAGAAATCCCCGGGATTTCTCCCTCGTGTGAATACTTCACCATCCGCAAAATCAGAACACAAGATTCAAAGCATATTACGATCGAACACACGGAACTAGGAAATCGTGGTCCCGACACGCGCACCGCTCGAAGTGAAAAACACGCGGAACTATACTGTTTCACCTTGTATCGTACCGCAGGAAAGCCTACAAGCGCGAGCTCCTTGCTCTATAGGGCACATTTCGGCGGCACAAGCTCTCGTGCATCAAGGGCAGCTGCCACCGCTATGAGCTCGTGCTTCTAGCCTTCGCTGCGGTACAACATAAGGTGAAACGGAGTATATATAAAATCGTCATACCGACACGTGCACTGCTCAAAGTGAAAAAAAAGGCGGGCTGCGCGATTTTTTTTCGGATAACTCCACTACAGCGCCGCCACGAACTATCGCGAGCCGCTCCGGTCCTAACACTACCTAAGTATTTTAGTACACTGTAGTAAGTAACAGATTCCTTCGGAGCAGCGCCACTCTTTGGCATTTCAACATTTTCCTTCTCAGCTTTCCTCCTCAACTCACAAATCGCGCATTGTACCAAACGGTCGAAGAAGACAGAAAGGAAGGACTCCCCTCTTTCTCGGACTCTCGTTCGTGCAACCGGACACAGCCATACTCCCCTTAGATCGTCGCTCCAAATTTGAACAAAAGTTGCTTTCCCCACCCCGTTCAGCCCTAGGCTGACAGTGTTGTGGAAGCTACGTGCTCTTTGGGCTAGGGTGCCTTCATGTGCGAGCACATGGAGGCTCCCTCTTGGGCCAGCCACACGCTCGTCACCCCACGGGTAGCTCGAGCTGCCCGGTTCTAACGCGTTGACCAAAACGCTGCCAACGCCACCAACGGCAAAGCTCATAACCACGCCAGCCTTGCTACGTCACGAATGCGGGGAATCTTTTCTTTCTGTTTTTGTTTGCGCCGGATATCCCATGACGCATCGCGCTCTCCGTTCGCTTCTCTTCGAGCGCTTGCTCGAGTGCACCATATGGAACGAAAAATATAGCCAGTCGTTCAAAAGACAAACGCGCGATTATCATTTACGGTTATTATCCGTCATGCTTGACTCATTTCCGAACGAAATTTGAATATTTAAATTTTCGTTTCCGTACCCCTTTAAAGACCCCATGCTCATCCAGATCGAAACGGGCAGGGGTGGGGATCGAACACAGGATCCCTGGATTCCTGGGTTCTGCAGCGCAAGCTTTCGGTCCACGTGCTCAGAGTACAATATTTGAGAAGGTGAAAACACTGTGAAGACGAATCACGCACGACGACGACGATGTGTATCAAGGAGGTCGAAGTGCAAGCCAACAGATGTTTCAAAGATTTCTGACAGCAGAGTGGGTTCAGTCCACATCTGTGTGATAGCCTGGTGTTTCACGAAAGGTGGACAAATTCGATATTGCAAATAAAGCATCCTACCAAAAAAAAAGAAGAAAACAAAGGCTTGTGTTGTTTTGGTCTGAGGCCAAGGGCCTATTAAGGAAAATTATTAAAGTTTGGCATAATTAAGTTAATTATTTTCACATAATTAATCTTTTTTTTTAATATTGAGTTTAAGGACATGGTTTAATTTGGAAACTTGCTCAGCATCATCGAGAAACACTAAATAAGAAAACTGGAGTGTGACAGAAGGCACGCGCTGTATTTTACAGCTTTCTGAAAAACTGCAATCCGAGCGCTTCTCGGCACCGACGGCACCTCGCCCCGTGGAGAAATAGTGGAACCTGCGCCCCTGCTGCGTTGAGCGAGGGCAGCGAAGCAGATGTTGGTTTTCCCTTTGCACGGTGCGAGCTCAAAAAGATTTCCTTCCCTAGCTATAAATGAATAGGTAAAAAAATAACAACATAAAGTAACTGTCTCGTTTTCTGCCACCACGGGTGCTAAGCAAGACGGCGAGACCAGAGCGGGAAGAATGAACCGGGACATCGCCGCCTGCTGCGATTGGTCAGCGGCATGGAGTCGACCAATCGCAAAAGGTCGCGATGTCTCGGTCTTTTTTTCCCGCCGTCTTGCATTCCACCCCAGTGTGTTCAAGCCTCACCTTCGTCCTCTGGACAGCCCCTTACATGCTGCGCCATCTCGCGGCGCTTGTCAGAAATGCGAGCGAACCTTGGCAACACTTGCCCCGTGGCGAGGCAATGCCGTTCAGTAACCTCTCTTCTGCCACCGTGGACTGGGATACAGCGTATACGTGCACGACAGGCAGGGGGATCATTCGATTAACCAGCACCAGCCTGCACCGATGCAGAAAAGTGAAGAGCAATGTACCCCCGTCTTTTTTTTTTTTTTTCAGATAGGCTGCACTCGTAAATCAAATACGGCGTTCTGCACCGAGTGCAGCAGGCGCAGGTCTTGCAGGTAGATCGAATATAGCAAGTCTTCGCAGCGGTGTCAATGCGCAAAGCTTACGTTCCGCCGCGCAAAGTTTATCGATTGTTCCCCTCGCTCTAAGATATTCGAACAAAATTCCAAGTATAGAACAAACAGACAAATAAGCCAACAAACATACAAACACATTCGCCCCGCTTGTCTTTAAAGATGCACAAAACAAATCAAACCACCACCTTTTTTTTTTGTCTGTGTGTGTGTTGAGTTCGACAGTGGATTGACGGCACACCACTGACGGTACATGGCACATTGATGATTCAGTGGTGACGACGTGCCCGGAATCACGCACTGTCGGATAGGGATTATCGCGGATGTGTCCACCTGTGTCGTTGCGCGGGTTACCGACGCCCTCCCTTGGGGCACTTCATACACCGTCGGATAGACGTATTGGTATATAGCTGAGGCCGTCGGCACCTGCGCTCCTCCTCGTCACATCTGCGACGCGGACACGACGCGAGTCACTGACGTCGTAGCCCCCTGGGGCGTCTGCGTTACTGTGGGGCACTCAGCATACTGGACAGTCGTCGTGGCTGGAATTTGAGTGTTCACTTGACACGGCTGCGACGTGGAACCGACGCGACGGAAGGACACCGTCCTTTGGGACACCGGCGCTGCCGTGGGGTACGCGTACTGGTACCAGAGGTCGGCATTTTAGGTCGCCCTCACTCACCCTCACCCTCACAGCCACACTCACCTAAGCCCCTCACTCACCCTCACCCTCACAGCTACACTCACCTTCAGCCCCTCACTCACCCTCACCCTCACAGCTACACTCACCTTCAGCCCCTCACTCACCCTCACCCTCACAGTCACACTCACCTTCAGCCCTTCACTCACCCTCACTGAACCTCACGGCCCTCACGCACTCACCGCCCTCACGGCCCTCAACGCCCTCACCGCCCTCACGCCACTCACCGCCCTCACGGCCCTCACGGCCCTCACCGCCCTCACGCACTCACAGCCCTCGCGCCACTCACCGCCCTCACGCCACTCACGGCCCTCACCGCACTCACGGCCCTCACGGCCCTCACGGCCCTCACGCACTCATAGCCCTCACGCCACTCACCGCCCTCACGGCCCTCACCGCCCTCATCGCCCTCACGGCCCTCACGCACTCACAGCCCTCACGCCACTCACCGCCCTCACGCCACTCACCGCCCTCACGGCCCTCACGGCCCTCACCGCCCTCACGGCCCTCACAGCCCTCACTCACCCTCACACTCATAAATTTTCCTGGTTCAGAAACTCACTCACCCTCACCTCACCTGTGAAGATGAGGGTGAGTGAGGGTGAGTGAGGGCCCTCATGAGTGAGGTTTGCCGAGGTATGACTGGTACTGCGGGTAGGCTGGAGCGGTGGCGACGGTGCTGCTGTACAGCTGCGACAGCGACGTGACGCGGCGTACCGACGTGGTCCCCTGGGTCACGGGTGCCGTCGTCTGGTAGGCGTACTGGTACGCCGGAGCCTGCGCAAGGGCAGCACTGGTCGGCATGGCATACTGGTACGCAGGGGCTTGTGCAATAGCCGCGCTGGTTGGCATGGCGTACACGGGAGAACTGGGCATGGCGAACATGGGCTGTGCCTGAGGCATCAGGCCGTAGCCAGAGGGGGCCGACGACCCGTAGAAGTTAATGGTGGTGTGGGCCGTGGCGGCCTGCTGATTTTCTGCCAGAGTTCCACCCGACGCGACGGACGAGCGCTGTTTAAACGGTAACAATGGAGCTGGTGGGGGTGGCGGGGGTGGCGGGTAGACAACCTGCGTATGCGCGGGCGAATTAGACACCGTCCTGTAACCTTTCAAGCGACGAGACATCGTCCATATCACGGAACTACATAAATATGCTTCAAACCCGACGCATATACTACTTCGTGCACATCGAGCACTGCGTGACAAGGAGACCTTAGCTTTCTTTTATATTTCACCGGGGTTCCACTCACTGAAACCTCGCTAGTCCTCATTTTTCTCCTGTAATATCCACACCCACACCCCCTCCGCTCTTGTCTTACCTCGTTTTTTTTGTGTTCTATACATCACGTACTAAAGGTATATTGTAGCACCTTTAGTCTAAGTATACTAAAAGTATGTACAACCATTAGTTCACGTTATACAGGGTGTTACGTTTTATTCGAAACAGATTTTGGAGAAAGGCGTCTTTACTGCTACGTGAATGCCGTCTTCACTATGTGTTTCTTGAGCTCGGCGGACATTCGAGAGGCGAACAGCCGTTACAGTCTGGTGAGTCATTAACTAAAATCTGTTAATTAACTTTTTAATTATTGGTTTTATGGACCATGTTGCAATTGTAATTTTGAAGCCAGCCGTCCTGGAAGGCTATACCAACTTACACATTTAAAAAAAATGCAACTGGTTTGGAGATATCTGTCGACAATTTCTCCCCTTTCTATCATCCGATTCCGAAACTGAAAGTTCCAAGTGCGCCGGAAGCGCTGATCACGTGACGCTTGTAAAAGTGACGGTTTCGTGACGTACAAATCGTCATGATCTCATATCTGCACTGCGGCTGTTACGGTGCAACTCGAGGTATGCAAACTCGCGGGGGCGGTCTTTAGCGCTCTCGCTTTTAATGCGTCGTTGCCCTCGGAGCTTCATTCGCGATTGTTTGTCGGCGGGGGATTCGCTTCGCCAGATAGCGTGGGAGCACGAACGCCGGCTCTGTCAGTTGTAGCGTTAAAATGGCTGCGCAAATTCAGTCGAGGTATTCAGTCGCCGAGAAGGTTCAAATGGTTATGGCGTATGCTAAAATGAATGGCAACGTTCGTCTTGCCACGAGGCTGTATGCCGCCCAACACCCTGGTCGCACTGTTCCTGCCCCATCCACCGTCTTCCAGGTTGCCAAGAAGTTTCTGTCCACTGGGTCTGTGCATCGTCAAAGAAGAAGGAAAGCAGCTGTCTTGGACGAAGATATTGAAATCGCTGTGTTAGCCTACGTGCGAGCGTACCCCGAAATCAGCATCCGAAATGTTGTCGAAGATTCCGGAGGCAGCATCTTTTCGGTATGGAAACTCCTGAGAAAGCACAAGCTCCATCCGTATCACATATCTTTGAATCAGGACCTCAGCGAGTGTGACTTTGAGAAGCGCTTGGAGTTTAGCAATTGGGCCCTTATTAAAACGGATGAAGACCCCGATTTTCTCACTAATGTACTCTGGACTGACGAAGCACAATTTTGCCGAAATGGCAACGTGAACGTTCACAACGCGCACTACTGGTCTGATTCCAACCCTCACTGGCTCCGCCAGCATAACCATCAGGTTCGGTGGTCAGTGAATGTGTGGTGCGGCATGTTTCGTGACAGAATAGTGGGACCATTTTTTTTTCGAAGGCACACTGACAGCTCAGTCATACACAGCCAACATACTTGATGGTGCTGTCAGTGACTTCATCTGCGATCTCCCGTTAAGCGAGCTTAGAAGCACGTGGTTCCAGCATGACGGAGCGCCAGCTCACTTCTCGTCGCGTGCGCGGAGCTACCTCAACGCCTGTTTTTCCCAGCAGTGGATTGGGCGCGGTGGACCTATGTTCCGGCCGCCAAGATCGCCTGACCTGACCCCGCTAGACTTTTTCCTTTGGGGTCACATCAAAAGCGAAGTCTATTCAACTGAGCCCCAAGATGTCAACGACCTGAAGAACCGAATTGTCTCAGCATGCGCCAACATTGAACCACACGTCCTGAAGCGAGTGGTTCAATCTATGAAGAAACGATTCGTAGCGCAGTGGAGGGTCGCCATTTCGAACATTTCTTGTAGTAAGACATTACCTTAGGGTCTAAGCACACCAGAAACTTAAATTATCAGCAATTCTGATCTCTTAAGTTATTTCACTGAATATAATAAATAGCAAAGACTTCTTTCTTGTAGCGTTTCATTTTCTTTCGTTAAGTCGACTGGCAGAGTCAACATTCGTGCGCCTGCGCTATTTGGCGAAGCGCCTTCCCCGCCGACAAACAATCGCGAGTGAAGCTCCGAGGGCAATGACGCATTAAAAGCGAGAGCGCTAAAGACCGCCCCCGCGAGTTTGCATACCTCGAGCCGCACCGTGACAGCCGCAGTGCAGATATGAGATCATGACGATTTGTACGTCACGAAACCGTCACTTCTACAAGCGTCACGTGATCAGCGCTTCCGGCGCACTTGGAACTTTCAGTTTCGGAATCGGATGATAGAAAGGGGAGAAATTGTCGACGGATATCTCCAAACCAGTTGCATTTTTTTTTAAATGTGTAAGTTGGTATAGCCTTCCAGGACGGCTGGCTTCAAAATTACAATTGCAACATGGTCCATAAAACAAATAATTAAAAAGTTAATTAACAGATTTTAGTTAATGACTCACCAGACTGTGACGGTTGTTCGCCTCTCGAATGTCCGCCGAGCTCAAGAAACACATAGTGAAGACGGCATTCACGTAGCAGTAAAGACGCCTTTCTTAAAAATCTGTTTCGAATAAAAAATAACACCCTGTATATAAAATACACGCACACACAATAAAAACATACCTCAGCGTACCACATAGAACTCGTTATCATAGAAATAAAACACGTGTGTACGCAGGGATCAGAGGTGTAAATTTAGTTCGTACGCACCCACACGCACCTTTAGTCCCGAACATATTTCATATTAGTACAGAACCACGTACAGAATTCAGTTTAGATTAGTTCATTATACGCGGCGACACGTACAGAATACGTACAAAGTGCATTCAATATTTGTGGACTAAAGCCGAAGTGCAGTCAGTAGGTAGCACCACAATCCTGGTGCTTTATGACGAAATGACACTTAACGGACAAGATATCTTTCTATAAAGGGAGAGGTGCGAACACGTGCTTTCTAACTGAGAGCGAAACTCGCTGCTCGGGACTTGGACGTTGTGGCAAAGAAAGGAATTCAGAAGCAAATCTCGGATTTTTCGCAACACAGAAAGATCACCGACTTCCCCTTGTCCTCAGTGCCCCTTCAGTTTGCAACGAGATTGTGTTCAAGCAATTATTTTAAAAAAAGGATAACTTATTTACATCTTCAACGATCCTTCAGACTTTGGCTAAACTGTTTCCTAAATGTCACCTTGATACTATATAAAACGCCCCACTAATGTACACCCAAGGTCTTGACCGGAAATATGAAGAAAATCAAGACGCGTGAGCAACTCGGCCCCCGAAGAAAAAGACCAAATTAACTGTGTCAGCATGCGCTCCGCAAACCCTGTGAAATTGGAGGTATTCAAGTTATTTTTCTTATTCCCTGCTTCTTTTTGCGGTTTAGTTTACAAGTTTAGTCCATAGCGAAATATCTGATCGAAGACGACTGTCCCTCGAACGGTCGGGGTTTTTGTTTACACCTGAGGGAGAGGAGGATTCCATGGGTGGTGCTTCCTTTGAAGCGACCGACGGCAATCGGAGCTGGAAATCCTTGATGTCCCCCCGATTACCAGCATGAAACAGACCCCTAATTTTAACGCGTTAGCGTTAAAAAGCTCGTAATACGCTCCGACAAACAAAAAACGAATGTATTATTGAGAACATTTGTAAGTTTAACCCGAAAAAAAAACGAATTTCGGAATATGTCCACAAAAAAAAACGATTTCTCCCCGATTATCAGCTTGAAAAAGAGCACCCAATTTTACCCCCCGAATTAAAAAAAAATACATATATATATATATATATAAAACCCGAAAACAAAAAAAAAACGGGCATATTTGAGGACAAAATAAAGAACCGAGATTTTTCCACCGCAAAAATAAACAGCGCATTGCCGAATGTTCCGTCCCCGTCTAAATGCAGGGCTAGCAGTTGGGACCAAATGCCAAAGTTTCAGAACGTACCGCTGTCTGATTCAAAAAGTGTAAGCGAATTTTAACTTTTTTCCATTGAAAAATTACGGTTAACGCAGCCCGAGAATACACGGAGGTGAATAACGTCTCCTACCACAACAGGGCGTCATTCTTTCATTACAAATTCTAGTAAATCGCTTATAAATTTCGAGCTTAATATGACGATTTTGGCACCTTGGCCCAACCGCTAGCGCTAGCGCTACATTCAGGAGAAAACTGAGCGTTTGGCGATGCGAGTTTGTTTTTACGGTGCGAAACACCGTTATGTTTTCTCCCAAACAACCGGTACACATCGGACAAACTGGAATGTCCGCCAACAGGAGCGTCACTTGGAATTAAGCTGCGCGGATTTCGGAAGACCCGTATCATTTTCGTGTTTTTCATGCCCGTATTTGGGGCAGTTTCAGTTCTCGATTTCAGAGGAGTAGAATTATGATAAAAGGCACGGAAGCGTCAAAACAATTTCATCGTTCGTTATACGATGGGGACCGTAAACCGTGCTTCAAAAGTTGACTCCCTAAAGCCCGAAAATAACGTAGGTAGTTGTTATGACTACCGTCCGCTTTCTCGACCAACAGTGCTACACCTGATGCTGCAGTTTATTTTCTTTTTTGCCTTACGTTCCTCACCACCTGTGCTGAGTTCCTGTCAAAGCGATTTTACAAAAGAGAAATAATTACCGCTACTGGTTGAAAAATATGAGCTTGTCGTCCCGTTTAACCTGTGCATTGACTTCGTATTTAACGGGAAAACACCATGAATTTTACTACAGACCAATACTGAACAGATTTATAGAACCGTTCAAGGCGCCACTTGCTTTTGTTTTTCAAATAGCAAGGCTGATTGGAACAAACCCCTCCTCCCCCCCCCCCCCCCCCCCCCCCCCGACACTGTAGTCAACTTGAAAGTCAACCGCCCTTCCAAAGTACTTTTCTGCTGAGTTAAATCTTTTTGAAGTTTGTATTGTTTTGTTGGGGTTGGGGAGTTTGTTCGTGTATTTATTTTGGTATTTTGCTTGTCAGCATGCCTTGTTGATCGAACTGAGTGACGTCAGCATGCATAAATAAATAAATTTAAATTAAACCAGGGCACCACCCTTTCACGGTTTGCTCTCGTCGCCTGCAACGGACTGTGAAATTTTGCAAATTAAAACGCAGCTCCTCGCATAAATAACGTGTTTTTTTCTTATTTTTTTTTAACGCTAAGTCCCGCACATATCGGAATAAAGTGAACAAGTAGCAGACACGTGTGAGTAGGTCGGATGCCCACACGTACATACCTTTTGATAAGCCTATCGGTGCATAGTTTCAACGTCACCTTCTGTATCATGTATTATACTGCACACTCTTGTTGAAAACAGCGGTGCAATGTTACGGCCTGCTGATGGTACATCCTCCTCCGAACCCCCTCCCCTTCCTTTTTATAGCACGAGTAGTTGCCGACACCGTTCGGTTTGTACTCGTTCGCATAGAGTGAGTAAGAAGAGTAAGGGGAAGGCGTTGGAAGTGGAGCTTATAGCTATGTTTGACCATTTTTTAGTTTCGAGATTCTGGCACGTCACTCGGTACCAGGGATGAAAGAATTGCCGAAGGAGCACTAAAGGGGGCGTCGTAAAGGTGAGCGATGGAGTGGTTCATAGTGTTGATTGGTGTGCCCATTAGTGTACATAGCTTATATCCTGTTTTTCGTTTTTTTTTTTTTCTTTCTTTTTGGGATTGCTAAAACATGCATAGAGACGGAAAAAAAAAAAGAAAAAAGGTCGGGACGGCTTTTTTGTTCGTAATGTATATCTCGGACGACACGTGACTTTCAAAGTTGGCGTAATACGTGCTATTGCAAATACACCGTTGATAATTTTTTTCTTTTTTTTTTTTTTAGTATTGAAACAAAATTAAAATTTCTGAAACTTCTTTCTCGCAAAATCAAATAAGGCTTCGAGCAGCAAGGTTATGTATAGGGTTCGGAGTTTTCGGTTTTAACCGATAAAAACCGATAAAAGTACGCCGAATCCATTTTCGAAAATTCGGTTTTAATCGAAAAAGGTCACTTTTTAGGTTCGGTATTTTCGATTTAAACCGATAAAAACCGACAAACGTACGTCGAATTCATTTTCTAAAAATTCAGGTTTAACTGGAAAAGGTCACTTTGACCCCCCAGTCGTACTGGAGAGCCGTGGCGAAAAAGTGGAACGACAGTGTCTCTTGAAACGTGTCCGAAAAGATGGGATACACGGATGCCATCACGACGTTTTGGTTTAATGTGCTCATCATCGATCGTAACGTGAAGTCCCAAATGCCCCATGACTTGACCATGTACGAGCGTGTTTTCAAACTCGTTGTAAGGAAGACTGACTTGATGCAAGCTCTGCATGTTGTGTTGTGCTTGAAAACGGTCGCAACGTGCGTCTTTTGGCGGTCACAATTAGTTGATTGGTCGAATTTGATTCAGGCAGCGCTTTTTCTCCACAGCCTGCCAGTGTCCAGTGTTAGCTTGGAGAGGGCATTCTCGAAGCTCAGGGTCACATTAACAGGAAAGAAAGAGTGCGGATCAACGAGGAGAAGCTCGGAAAGTACACGTGTCTGTGTACTATAATAAGATCACCTAATCATGATGTACAGAAGAAGTTCTATGTTTTTTGGGCATAGGCTTCATTTCTGACTTGTTCGTACTTCTGTGTTGTTGTTTTTTTTCTTTTACAGCTGCACACATTTGCCATATAAAGTGTCCATTTCTTTTTCAATGTATCTGTGCCGTTATTCTTTTAGTGATCACAAATATCAGAGCTACAATGATCATCTGCTCCGGTGTTCGTTGGTGTTTATTTTATATTCACCGAAAAAAGCCTATGAACTTTTGTGGGCATGAATATACGCCGAAAAAAAAGGAAAATTAAATTTTAAAATAAACACCGAAAAGTACGCCGAATTTTGAAAAAATAGAAACCGAAAACGCGGAACCCTAGTTATGTACATCTAAGCAAAAGAAAAGGACTTAATTCCCAACTTGCACACCTTATTTTCTTAAAATATATGCCGTCCCTTGGTGCGATTACAACATAGTCACGCTGAATGGTCAACGAGCAGCAAATTCTACATCAGATGGAGTTTCTTAAACCCTGTTAGGCCTACTTCGAAGAATGGACAAGCCTATATACGTACTAAATCTTCAAGATTGGGTCTGCCCCAGCCATTCTTTTGTCATTTGTCCGGCGGAATATCCGCATGACTGTTTCCTTGGCACGGATTTCGGAGGAAAAAGGAGCAATAACTCGAGAACGCTGTTGACAATTAATGAACACGTCGCCTCCCTCAAAAAGGAGAACCAAAGGAATAGCTGTTCTTGTCCCATGGTCTTGACAGTCTGCACGTGCGTGTGTGCGAACGATGACGAGTGGTTCTCAGCCAGCTCTTTCATAATAAAGACACGAGTAGGAACCCTGCACTCATCCGTGGTAACTGCACCACAGATTGTACTTTCTTAACAACAAATGATCCAACTTGAGTAATGTTTTTGCTGTACTCAAGCTAAGCTTAATCTACATAACAGAGTGCTCGAAGAGAACTCGTGGTTCGGAAATGTGCTCGTCATGAAACTGCTCAACTACTTGTAGTGCATCGCTCCTGGCCACAAGATGGACTCGGCGAGGAGTTGGGTTGTTGCAGCGTCGTGTGCCTGGATCATGCTCTTCAACTTCGTCATTATTCGCTCGGCGGCTGTCTTCTACATCGTCATCCTGCAGTCCTTTCATGCCACCAGAGAAGAAGCATCCTGGCCGATCACAATATCCACTGCCCTCTTTAACGTAGCCGGTACAGTACCCTACTGCTGCCATCGTTGTAAAGTGTTGCGCAAGGCCCGTCCACGGACTTGCGACCGACTTCGACCGACAGAGGCGAGATTGGGTTTGAAGCCTCTTGTGACGGCTTACATCCGGCTCCGCGGCAGCGCATCCGGTCGAAAGCCGTCGCAAGATGCTTAAAATTCTATCTTGTCTCAGTCAGTCGGAGTCGGTCGCAAGTGTGTGAACCGACCTTTTAAGCACCGTGGTCTTACTTGACAAGGGTCCTCCAGAAAGCTTAGAAGACATCCTTCAAGAGGAGTCGGCTTCTTGAGGTGTTAGCATCTGGAGGACTTAGTCTCTTGAGGACTAAGTCCTCAAGAGACTAAGCCTTTTGTCGACTTGAGAGGAAACAGAGAGTCACGAAAAACATAGCTTCTTGAGGACACAAGAGGACATACTTACCCTCAAGATTACTTAGCCTTTTTACAGATGTCGTTTAACAAAACGGCGGCTACCCCTCTGATGCTTCCAGGAAGGCTCTTTTAAAGTTCTTCCAGCCAGCTTCAAATGAGGCGCATGGCAAGAATGCTTACGAAAAAGAATGGCCCACAAATCGTAGAGAGTTGTTGCATCACTTGAAGACGGCTCTTGCCAGTTTCAACAACATTTGAGTCATTTGGAACGGAATAAGAGACATTGAAAGCGATAATTAGTAGTTTCCTCAATCGAAGGCCAACCATCAGAAAGTTTTGAGTAACCGCGGCCTAACGACTGCAATAACCGAGACACGTCCTGTCGAGTCTCAACTGCAAAGTAGTCCGAACAAAGCACTAATTAGGTACTTAAAGCTCTTTGAACTAATTTCAAATAAACTTTGTAGAAGTTGTAAAGTGGCAGCCGATGTTTTGCTGAGAACAGCATATCAAGTCCTGAATAAGCTGTCTTCGAGAGGAACGTCGGCTGCCATTTTGGGATCCCAAGAGAGAAGTGCAAGGTACGTGGACAATGTGGGGCGTCTAACTGACCTGCCGAAAGTTGTCAGAGAATTGATTTCGCTTTTTTGTTTCTGATTTACTCCAAGCACATATTCAAAAGCTTGGTAAGCATATCTCATTGAAAACAATAAAGCGCGCCTTCAAGATCGAGCTAGACTGCACACTGTTTCGTTGCGCGAGTCATGGAAGGATGTTGTAGAGGTGTTGCGTAGTTAAAAAAGTGGAATCGTTGTACAGTTCCCATATTATCATAACCAAATGTTGAAGATATTTCCGATCGTACTTATGATACCCATTTCTTAGAACGTCTGCTTTCCGAGCGGTGAAATAGTCATTTGCCCTGCAGAGGGTGTCGTTTGAATTTTTTTAATGTGGTGTGCTGTATTAACTGTTATGTACGCCGGAACATATCAGTGTAATAGCTATGGTATACACAAGCTTCGTTTAAGAACGCTACAACGGGAAAATCTTTCCCAGTACCACGACATTCCGAACTTCTTACAAGGTGTCCTCAACAAGATATCACTTTAAGTACTTAGGATATTCCTTCTATGCTGACAGTCCACATACCTATATTTCTACCAAGCAATATGAGAAGGTATAGGCGACGTTCCAACAAGGTGATTTGTATGCAGCACCAGTGACAGGCATCCTAGCACTGCATCCCACTGGCACTGCTACACTGAACATTTTACATGTTCAATCTGGCATACAAAATCGATACACCTGCTATCCTCAGCGTGTTAAATGCTTCAATTCGTATGCACGCAGGACCTATAAGTGTATTAGATATGGTATGCATAAGCTTCGCTTAAAAACAATAACACGGGAAGGTATTCTAAGTCCCACCACATACCGAACTTCTTACGAAAGCGCCTTCAATAATAAGATGTCGGTTTTGCTATTGAGCATAGGATTGTTACGATAACAGTACACCTATGCATACATGTATTTATGCTAAGCAATATGAAAAGGTAGACGATGCTCCAGCCTCCAAGGAGGTGAATTACAAATGGTTCTCCGTCTGCAGCGCCAGTGGCAGGCATCCTGGCGAGACACGTGGCGCTATGGAAGTTGATCATGGCAGCGTGTGCAACGAGTGGTCTGGCTGTCTCGGCTTGCTACTTTGCGGAGAGCGTCGCCCACATAACCATTTTGTTAGGAGCTGTGCACGGTACGTCAATGGAACCATCTTTTTGCAGTACAGTGACATTCACTATGAACGGGAGCAAATGCTTAAACTCTACGGTCGGCATATCCTGGTATTTTTTACTCTTAAGCGATTTGACGCTATTGTTGTGCTTTATGTCTCCTTTATTTCTCGTTGCATTTTTTTTTTATTCGGTTCACCGAGAGGTGCGAAAATGCTAATTCGTGTTAGTTTTTAAGTAACTTTTAGTCCCGTGATTCAGTTAAGCGTAATTGGGACTGTACATTACCGCTGCGTCCAAGGTTATAAATGAAATAGTCGAATTCCTCGATACATTTTAATGTGAGATTTCAGTTTAATCAAAGAATGGCGGCATATGATGATGATCCGAGTTAAATAGACGGATAATAATTCTGTTATTTGGTACGTTGTGCATCATTATTGCCACAGCTGTACGGACATCTAAAATGCTGCCATCAGGCCATTGTGCTCCACGATGTTTCATTCTTTTTTTTTTTTTTGTAAAGCTCATGAGAGCGTGTACGGTTCGAGCTTCTATATTGAATGGGTGCTTCACCACCAAATTGTCAAACATGTATGCTTGATATTTTTAGACTTTGTAACTGGGTGGGGTAGATGTTGATCCAAAGTGATGACACAATTCCAAGAACACTCAAGGAACTTGAGGTGCCACCTAGACGACATGCTATCATAGTGTACCCCAATATCTATACAGCATTTTATTAGGTATAAGCATAACCACTAAAAGAAAAATGATGTTCAATTGCGATTGTGCTGCTAAACAAGACATCCGGATCTAACCGAGCTTACGTCTGCATATTGTTATTTTATCAGCAAAAAATAAGATAATTCTTATGACGACATGTTCTCGTGCTAGTATCTGAAGTTGTGAAACGTTGTTCTCTTCTGCTCTTGCTTCAGGTTGCAGCCTCGCCTTCGTCATCCTGTGCTACACAGTCATCAATGAGCACTTCGATCGCTACAAAGCGGTTGCTTCGGGGATCGGCAACGCCGGAATCACAGTTGGGGGCCTCATCTTTCCTCCTCTAGCTCAGTTCCTCTTCGACGAGTACGGTACCAGAAGTGGCTTACTGCTCTGTGGAGCGATTATGCTGAACGGCGTTGTGGGAGCCTTCTTTCTGCGCGCACTTACGAAAAAACAACAAGAGCGTCCTCGTGGTCTTAAAAAAACAGTGTCAGACGACAAGACCCTAGACGCTCCAGACTCGGATGCATCAGCTGTCCCTAATGGCTCGAGTCCCGGATGGAAATCCTTGCGCAACTCTATCAAGCGATTGCCTTCCAAGTTCCCAGAGAGGCAGAACAGCATCCTCAGCGTAAGAACAAAGTCTGATGAAATGTTTCTACAACTACGAGACTCTAGTCTGCCGGTCGACCTTGGTAACTCGGTATCTGTGCTGCAAGCTCCGCCGAGCACTCCGAAGAGTAATAAATATGTATTGGGAAGAGATCGCCGGAAGGAACGAACGGCGTCAGGTCAAGTGGAGGTGATCGAGCTACGAAGCCCCAGAAAAGATGCGAACCAGCCACCACCCGTCGTGCACATAAGCAGTGGCGACGTTCGCAAGACAGCTTTCGGATGTGGAATATGTTCACTTCTGTCATTCATGGCCTTCCCCAAGTTCTACCTACTCGGATTATCCCTCGCGTTAATCTACCTCAACATGACCACATATGTGACGGTCATCATAGACCTCGCGATGGACAGGAACATCGCCAAGTGGAACGCCATCTACCTGGTGGGACTTTACACTTCCGCAGACCTTCTGGCAAGGTTGGTGTCAGGTATCATCACGGACAAGCAAATAGTGACCAGGAGTACAATGATGGCGGCCAACTTCATGTTCTGGGGTGTGTCCTTGTGCCTCGTTCCCCTGTGCCACTCGTACCGCATACAAGTGCTGCTGGCCATAACGTCGGGATGGTCAAACGGTGCCGTTTTCGTCCTGGCGTCCGTGGTGTGCATGGACGTTGCTGGTGCCGACCAATTCAGCATGTGCTATGGCATGGCGTGCTTCGTGGCTGGACTTCCATTGCTGGCAAGGCCCGCGATTGTGGGTATGTCATACATATTGTGCTCTCCTATTAGCTCACGCATGAGGAAGGGTAAATATACAAAATAATTGTCTTTTTTTTATTCGTTTTTTTTTTTTTTTTTGCTATTAGTTTTATATAGGAAGCAACAAAATAACGCTAGTCACGGACTAGGAAGGTTTAACTCGAAACCTTTTGCCCATTAGGGACGCGATATTTTCACGTACCGCTCCATGGTTTCAGGGAGATCGGTGAGTTTTTTCAGCGCCATTTCACGTTATTAACGCTTAACAAGAAAATTACGATTTAAACAATAATGATGACGATAAAACGTAACAACTCGAGTTTCCGCGATTTCTGCGAGTGAACGTGGGAGGCTTGTGCTGCTGGTGTCGCGACATCAACACGCTGAGAAAAGCCCCGTATGAAGCGAGCCTAATAAAACTTGCCAGCGCTGATTATACATGTCAAAAATGCTGAGTCACTGCGTTCTGGATGCATATGTGACGGATGATATAACACAGAAGGGGGCTACTGCGCATACCTAGAGCGCGTTCCACTGCCCAGTAGACAAAGACGGCAGCGCGCAGCAGGCAATTATTGAAACCGTCTATACCTTCTAAAATAATTGGCAGCGACCAATTATCTTCAAAGTCGTACAATGCATGAAATGCAGTGTTTAAGGCACGATCGCTCGAAATTATTTAGAATGCGTTAAACCTTCGTTCGGGAGAGTGAAGAACCTTCATTTCTATTAAATTCCCCGATACATTGACCCGGGAAACATAGTTGGTTTAAAGGTATAGTCACGTCAGGTAACGTGACATCAAATTTCTCGCTATATAGCAGGGAAACTAAATTGGTACATAGCTCACATGACGCCAGGTTACATGACGTCAATATTCCGGCTAAATTCAGCGGGAAAACTGAATTGGCGCATACGTCACTTGACGTCAGGTCACATGACATCAATTTTCCGCTAAATTTAGCGGGGAAACTGAATTGGTGTATAGGTCACGTGACGTCAAGTCACGTGACACATATTTTCCGGCTAAATTTAGAGACGAAACTGAATTGGTGTTCACGTTACGTCAATTGACGTCACATTACTTAAACACAAATTCAGTTTCCGCGCTAAATTCTGCAGCAAATGTACGCACGGACACATGGACGGACAATATTTTGGGATTGGGGTTGCGTTAAAAAGAATTTCATGCTCTAAAAAAACTGTTCTCTTGTGCAGGCTATTACAGAGACGGCTTGGGAGACTACCAGGGTCTCTTCGTTCTCCAGGGATTGCTGACAGTGTCAGTCGCCTTCCTCTGGCTGGGAGTTTCGTTGCAAGAAAAATGCAAACACAATGCGAGAGTAGCCATTCCCGTGGCGGAAACCTGCCAACATTTGTCCACGGAGCGGTTGTAAAATAAAATTGCCTCTACTTTTCGGTTACGTCGTGACGTTACAAGGCCTCCCTATTCCGACTTCTACAGGTGTGTGAACTGAATGAGAAGTTGCGAGCAAGACGAACTCATTGGTCAGGCCGGGGGGGGGGGGGGGGGGGGGGGGGGTGTTTGCGAACGAGTTTTGATGTAACGGACGGATGTGACATTGCGGGCGATGCATTACCTATATCTCTTTTGTTGACCTAAGGCTGCTCTGTGTCATTTTTTCCTTAAAAAAGCTGCCCTTGGGGAGTTTAAGAGGTGAGGGGGCGGTCGCACTCCCTCCCCTTTAAATCTGCCCCTGAGTAGAAGAAAATCTTGCATATACTTGGATGCCATGCTCTCTGCTTTTCAGAAATGGTATATGGCCAGAAGGCAGCTTAAAGCTCATTTTCACCAAATGTTATTTCCACTAAAGTCTATCTTGCCAAAGGAGTTGTTGTCATAGGGCCAACAAAACGTCATTTACCACTAATTTTGACTACACTGGGACTGGCGATTATGGTCATTCCAGGGATCTGGCATATCCAGACTTTTTCTTTGTCCAGGGAGACTCTCTTTGTGGCACCGCAACAACCATAGAGGAGAGTGGCGTGAGTGGGCGACGACAGATATGTTCCCCGTGTTTCTAAACAACACAACGCGATAGTGCAATTTTCTGATCCTCAAGGCCGTCACCCAGAACAACAAAAAGATACGCTATATCAGGGCCAACCTTGCCGGAAAGCAAGTCCGAGATAAGCCGACGTCTTCTAATGGCACTTGTCCCAAATCGAATATCAATGCGGCCTACCCATTGGGCCCCTGCGCGAGAATTGTTTACAAGACACACTTATCCTTCCATATACCTTTGCGATGTGAATGGTGCGACCGCATTCCAATGGGCTCCTCGGTTTGCAATCGATGGCTGGTCGCTGCGGCATGTTGCTGGATGAACCTTTTCGGCTTCGCCATGCTCCGTTCAATGGCAGTCGTCTACGTGGGTGTCCTGCAGGAGTTTCACGTCACCAGGGGACAAGCGGCGTGGCCCCTCAGTCTGACCGGAGTTTTCTACACGTTCACAGGTACGTGAATTTCTATCACGCGCACAGTGCAACGAGATATCTCGTGAACCATTCCAGTAACTTGTCCATGCATCGACGACAAACTGGTCAAGCTGATAGAGCATTTTAATAGTCGCTTTCTGCGCCCGCCATTCTTATCTCATTGGGCTGCAGGACGCTCTGTGAGCATGAAAAATAGCTTCCTTCGGTGGATTATCAGCCGCCGCGCAGGCATTCACTACCCGGTGACTCGGCAGTTTTCGCCTCGGCGATAAGCGCTAGTTAAGTCCAGACGCAGCCGACGCTACGAGCTAATCGTGTCAATTAAACAGCTTCAAAAGCGGGACAACATGGTCTTCGTCCCGTGTCTGTACGTGTTCTATCATCGCTGAACCAATCACGTACATGGAAGGAAGTCTCAGTGACTTGCACTTTGGAGGTTGTTTCATTGGTCCAATCAACTCGTAGCGAAGGCTGCGTCCGGAAGTAGTATAAAAACGACGCAGAGGTCGTATACTTCGTTTCAGCTTCAGTCCGAGCGCGGCCAATGTTATGAGGCGAAGGACCAATCAAACAGCCCAAAAAGCGCAGCGTCATGGCGTGCTCTCTGCGCTTGATAAGACTAGCCGGCGGATAAGCACGCACAGAGAGGCGGCGAATACCGGCTGGTCCTATCAACTGCAGAGAGCACGCCATGACGTTGTGCGTCTTTTGCTGTTTGATTGGCCCTTCGGCGCATAACATCGGCCAAGCTCGGACCTAAGCTGAAATGAAGTATAGATAAAGAGCTGCTACAAATAAAACAAAGCGAGGAATGGCACCGCAGTTAACGCGCAGAAGCTCCCGATGGCAGACAACCGCTATGACGCGCGGGACGGACGCGGAAAGTGTATAACGTCTCGATTCAAAACCAACGTTTGATGGTAGGAGTGGGCGAATGGCGGTTAATAGCGCAGCGTCATTCTTAGCTTCAGCACTGCAAAGTCGTTGGTTTCCCCAGCACTGTGAAGGCTATGAATGACGCAGTGCTATTCGATTCGAACCGCTATTCCCCCACACCTATTTGATGGTCATCAACAGGCCGTAGATTCAGTCACGTGGTAATCCGGAAAGTGTATCAGCAAATGTATTTGTTCGTACGGTGAGACCACTGGCCTATATTGCAGTAGGCTGGATCCATAGAACTAATAGAATGTACGCTGGAGGTTCAACTGGCGCTAGTGTCTATGCGACTTCTGTGACACAAATTGAAGCAGACAGCAACCAGTCTACTTTAGCGTTTCTCCCGTGCACTCCTATAGGAAAACGCGCGTTCGTTTTGAAAGAAGTGTCCATCGTCCCTACGTTTTAAGTGTGTTATTCTTTTGTCGTCTTTGTCATGCTGTTTCTTCGCCGAAAAATAATGTGGAACACTTTGATTATTTGGGTTGTATATCGAATAGTGTGTACCTCGATTAACATTGTAAACGTGTAAATTGCTTTAGTTAGCGCATTTTTCTTTGTCAGTGAACGATGTTTAACTTCGCTACATTTCAGTCCCAGACATGCATGCAGCAGGTGGGTAAAAACAAACCATTTTAAGGAATATAGAATGGGTTCAAGGTTCGGCAGCATTCCGGTGACGCTTATATTGCTAATACACTTGTTCCTATGTGAAAAGGACCCCATCTTGCATCTTTACGAGCGGTTAAAAACATTCAAAGCGTAAATAATAAAATACGTGGGTTATGAAACGTGTCTCTTTGTATTGTTTTCTCTGCCGGGCAAGTACTATCGGGCACTTGTTCTCAAAGATTTCGAGCGAGCGGGTGATATTTTGAACGTAGAACAAGCATTTTCGCACAGAGCAGAAAGAATAAAGCAGTACCTACTTATTTACAATCGGAATATATTACGTGGCTTTCAATTTGTTTTGATCGTACATGCACGGGTAGCTACTGATCCGGTGTTACTGTTTTGTCGTCTCTCTTGGTTTCCAGATGTCCTTCGTTCGTTTGGGACGTATTCGCGACTCCAGCGACCTATAGGGGGCACCACCACCAAACAAATATGGCGGCTGAGTCCAGGTCGCGTCGGCTCGGCCGGGCCGCCTGAACAGGTGGCGCGTTCAATTTAACAGATTTTCTTTTGTTTAATGCCCAATTTTATAGGTATTTGAAATGAGACGGTGAAGTGTAGCCGGTGAACATAAACTTGCAAAGCATAGTTTTGCTTTCCCGGTGTTTTTGGTTCTTTGCATGTCCAACTTTCGTTTCGGAGATTTCGTTCAAAACCGAAACTATGGGCTCCAGAGAGACGGTAATAGACTCTAATCAGTTTTGATCAGCTAAGGAAAGCGGTGATGACTACAGGATTGTTCCACCGAGAGTAATTTTCAGCTAACTCGCATGCCTCGACCATGCGACTTATCTATCCGCGAAATCGAGCTTTTGTGCGTATCCGCGTTTAAGAAACAGCTCCAGTCGTCTGCTCGGTCAACAACACAGGCTTCAGGAAAATTACGAAAATTAAGCAAGCGCTTCTTTAGTCAAAAACCATGTTAACCCGCTTGCGCCCCACTAAGCAGCTGATACTGGTATTTCAATTCAGGTTTTAGTAGCAATCGAGAAGTCATTTTGATGAGCGGGTTATGTATTATATTATGTACTATGGGTCCCACTAAAGCGATGTTAGTATATTCTTCGGGTTGAAATATGAGCTTAATTGACTAGCTATTAGGTGAACTGCTGAATAAAAGTATATTTGACAGACAAAAAGATACTAATCAAACTTAACCAAATGGTTTTAGCCGGCAGCACGGAGACAAACTGAAGAGAGTCTTCATCAGAGATTCACGCAGAACCTCTCTGCATTGAACTTTGCTTCGAATCCTGAACGGAGAAAATGAGTATTTTTTGTTGCCGGTCAACCTGAGCAATGTAGACGTATATTGCTGCTGGCTTCGACGGGGGTATAATATAAATATTGGAGGCGCGATAGATCAAAATGCCGTGACAGCTTCTAACGTTGCGAGACTCGTCCCCCAAATTTTTAAAACAGATGATTTCCCTTATTCATCATTTGCAGCGAGCAGGTTTTACTGAATCAAGTAAATGCGAAATCAGCCTAACTCTTCCAGTTTGGTACAGAGGCTTTTTCGGCGAAAAGTAGCAAGATTAATAGCCAACGCACCGAGCGGCGTCGGTGGCTCAAACTTGAAGTTAACCGAACACAACCAAACTCAAGAAAAGCAGCTATCGAACCTCCCCATTCACTTGACTGCGACATTGGTGTTCTTTCCAGTGAAACACCTCGTTTCTCGTCCTCAGTCGACTTTTCTACATCCTTACGAAGAAACCACTTATCAGTTACCAAGCAGTCGTCACTTTGAATGTGATTCAAGAAAGACAAGAAATCAAAACGTTTCTCCGTGATTCCTCCCCATCCAAGAAATCGAAAGCACGCGACCGTGTGTTGTGGAGTAAACGGGCTTTCGAACACGTGATGGAAGGAAACAATCTACTGAGGCTTCACCGCACTAATGAACACTCAGGCAAACTTAAAAAAGTTTCGGACTTTTGTCAAATTACATGGTTCGCCACCGCGCCGACAACACGTGTCCGCGAAAGCCACCAGAGACGCGGAGGGGCGCGGAGTGACCTGGTCCGGCTGGTTCCCGGTTTTCCCGCTTGGTGGCGTCCGTTTTGCTGGAGTCGCGAATATCCCTCATGCTGAAAAGCACCGACGTCGTGTTCGTGCTAACAGTGTCCGACAGCGCACAAAAGTACACGTACGAAGCCGCTTTAGCACTGTTCTTAATGCAATGAAATTAAAAGAAAAACGCCGTAACTGACCCATTATTTCGTCTGCCTGACTGAGAAATGTTCCAAGCTACTATATACGTTTGAATTATTCGGGATATTGCTCTTCTGATCGAGCGCAGGGAGAAACTGCACTGACTTTTTCCCATACCGGAAGTCAAGTTTCAACTGGTTGCTGTCTGCGAATTCAATTTGCGTCAGCATACTAGCAGCAGTTGAACCTAGCGTACATTATAATAACTCTATAGCTGTATCGAGGATCAAGGCTTGTCTTGCTGGGGTTCAGTGGCCTCACAGACAGCCATTATTTGACACCAGCCAATGTATGGGACTCTATGGGAGAAACGATAAAAAGTGCCGTTTCCCTAGTTTCTAAGCTGTTGTCGGCACTGAAACTTTTTTGCTGCTTTTCGTAAAGCCTTTCAAATAGCTTTGTGCACAAACATTAAAACTTACAGCTCTCACAGTTTTTTTTAAATAAATGTTTTGTGACCAAGACTTAATAGTGACTCCGCTGGGCGAAAAATGTAGGGCAGCTCAATGCGACAAGAGATGTCTAGAGTAACCGCAGGGTCGGTGGCGATTTCGATGAGCTGGCTTTAGCAGAAGACAAGCTTGAGGCTTTGCTATACGGAATTCGCTCACTCCCGGAAAGCCGCTGTCAACATCAAACTTCTTTGATATTCATCGACTTCTGGGCTTCCCCGAGCACGGTCGTATTGACGGCAAGTTCCTTTGTTTACTTCACTACGAGAGAAAGCTTGGCAGCTCAGCCGTGGGTGCTCCGACATGTTTGATTTTTTAATGGGCGTTCGAACGCTTGACAAATACCAATTCGATCTCCAAACGCCCGATATAATGATCGCGGCACATCATAAAATACTCGCCTTCGAGCACCACGTACAAGCTTCAATATGCCTACTTTTGTGTGTGGCTCGCATAGACATGCGTGTATTGCCTGGCGTCAAGTAATGGCCGCCGGTGGTGCCACCGACGATCCGCGATCCAGCCTACTACAATAGAGATCAGTAGGTGAGGCCTAGTATATCAACGAACGCACTCGCGTGATTGCATGAGTTATGGGTGTATGCTATGGATTGAATGAGTTATCGGTGTATGTTATGGATGTGAAACGGTCAGTCGCCACACGTCTAGATTGCTAAAGGTTCATCGCCGATCAATAACATCAATCTTTACATTACGTCCTTAAAAAAGAAAACACAATTTTAATCTATTTTGATCTTGGAATGTGTGGCAAACCTTGACAACACCGCCATCAAGGAAACTCGACTTTGTTCGTGACCGGGATGTGCGATGGAAGACGATGATTCCTTGTATTATACTATACTGTAAGTGCAAGCAATCCTTCGTCGTAAAATGCAGCGCCTGCAGTGGGAGTCCTTGCACGACACATCAGCGTATGGAAGCTGACATTGGCGGGATCTGTGGCCAGCTCCATCTGTGTTTCGCTCTGCTACTTCGCCAATGGCATACCCTATCTTATCGTGTGCTATGGAATCTCGCAAGGTATGTACCGTGTCCAACCTAAACTCAAAATTAAACTATTAACTACAAAACTTCGTGTCCGCCCGAAAAAGCATGAGCAAAAAAAAAAGTAAAATTTCGAAACTTACAGGGATCGTCAGTCCTTGATTTCGATTGACCACGTCAAAAATTGTCCATCAATCGGCACCTGACGAGCAAGAATAGATCGAAACCTTGACTTTGTTTCTTGTCAAGACTATGGAGTTGTATGGTGCATTCTAGGCACTGAATTGTTTTTTGTCAAAAATTATTTATTGTGGTAGCCGCTTGTCACATATCGCTCCGTGCATGCATCACATGTCTCAAGCTGTAGGATCTTCATCATGGTCCTTGAAGGTTGACCGGGACTTCGTTCATAAGGAACCGCTGTACAAGTGGATAAAACTTGTGGACGACGTTAACGTAATTATTGAATTTTCCGCGCTCATAATTACGTATTTGACGCATGCAAGCACCGCATGGGAACAAATGTTATGATGGAGAGGAGTTGTGTGAACATTTTGGCGAAGGACGACAGCCGATGATAACTAAACCGCACGTACATATTCACCCGACTAGAGTCACGCACCCCAGCTCTTTCTATGCCAAAATAAATCAAGGAGCTGCCAAAACAACGGCAGCAATGTCTTGACGGGCACAGAAAATACTTCGAAAAACCTACATAGCTTCGTGCTAGTTGGATTTTTCTTTTCCTTTGTAGGAATGAAAGTCCCGGTCAACATTAAATGTCACTTTGTAACTGCATTCTTGCTTTGTTGCAGGTATCAGCATCGCGTTTATATCGCTTACCCACACGGTCATCAACCAAAACTTCAGTAATCACAAAGCAGTCGCCTCTGGAATCAGCAGTGCGGGATTTACGATTGGAGGTCTCGTCTTCCCACCTATGGTACAGTTCTTCTTCAACAGATACGGCCTAAGAGGAGGTTTCTTGTTGTGTGGTGCTTTGATGCTCAACGCTTCAGCCGGTGCTCTACTACAACGAGGTTCTCGGGCGGTGTCTATTTCTACTTGTGACGGGAAAGCTCAGGATGATCCTCATAAAACCAGGTCACTGCAAGAAGACGACCTTGAAAACTGCAGTTTGTGCGTTGCAGAACTCTCAGCAGGACTTATGCCGAAATCTGCAGAGGCGTCCAGCAAAGACCAGATAAACGCCAAAGATGAAGAAACCAATTTTCGTCTTTCTCCGAGAGCAACAGAAACACTCGGAGCTCATCAACTCGGTGCACAGAATATAAAACTTGAGGAGTCACAACTTCACGCTGCGCAAAATATGTATGAAGTTTCGAGGACACTGCACAGACTAGTTCCAGGGTCAAATCTTCAAAATCGAATAATCGGATCGTTGTCGTTCCTTGCCATCCTTAAGTTTTACATTATCGTTCTCTCATTTTCCCAAATCATTTTTAGCATGACCACCTACCTGACGGTCATCGTGGACTTTGCGATGGATCGGGACATTTCGAGATGGAACGCTGTTCTCCTTATCACGTGCTGTGCGGCAGTGGACATGGTGTCGAGACTAGCATCAGGATGGATAACGGACAAAGGATTCTTAAGGAGAAGCTCCATGATGACGCTGCACTTCCTTCTCTCGGCCACGTCCCTGCATCTTGTACCTCTTTGTCACTCATACACCCCGATTGTCTTTATGTCCGTGATCGTGGGCTGGTGCAATGGAGCCACCATTGTTCTTATACCAGTGTTCCTGATGGAACTGGTGGATGCTGGTAAATTCAGCGTCTGCTACGGGACGGCGACCTTCTTGGCTGGCCTTCCCATGCTGGCCCGCCCCGTGATAATCGGTACGTCCTGTCTTTTACTTCTTGTTTGTAGTTGCCATTGTTATCACGTGAAAAAGAATGCTCGCGCGGAAATCTTATCCGCCAATGATGGGGAGGGGAGTGGCAAGGAGATACAGTCAAAAAGGAGCTCGCAGACATCTTCGTTCTTTCAAAGGATAGTTCTTGTTGCCCTGTACGACTCGCCATATGTTCCGCCAAATCTATTCTGAAATGAATATCTATTGTTGTGGTTTCAATCTCTACTAGCTTGAGGCCTAGGGTAGGGTGACCACCTTCCTGCCGGTGGAATGCGGGACACCCTGACCGGGGGGGGGGGGGGGGGGGGGGGGGGGGGGAAGGAAGAGGAGGACGGTATTTTCACGACTCAAGAAATAAGTATTAAGGGAAATTCACTAACGCGCACACCCCGAAATCCTGTGCTGTCCGAAAGCGTATTATACACCTGATAATTGTACGCGGCAATTAAACTAAGATTAGTTTCACTCACAGTGATATATTTTTGTTTATTTGTAATCGTAAATATTTTATTAAAAGTATCTAAGTTGAAAACATAAAGATCGACTGCACCAGACCCCAATGCATCAAAAGGAAAAAAAAAAACAGTAAATATTTTTCGGCTTGTTTCCTGTCGATACTTACTCTTATATTAACATGCTCCTACACAAAAATAAAACCTTGTTGTTTTTTTTTAATCGTTGTGAGTTGCAGGTTTTTTTGCCTTGTGTGGCCGTCTTCAATGAAAACAAAAAAAGCTTTCCACAACAACCCTTTCGCATGATACAGTAGGATTTGCAACTAATTACAATAGTTTACTTTTAGCTTTTGGCGAGCCATTTGCGCTTGCAGTATTTTGCCATCAAGGGGAGAGGCACAACGGCGCATGTGCGTGAGTCTCCTGCAAGAACGACGGTTGCTTCCCGCAGTGCTCACCAAGAAAATGACATACCATCGAGATCCACACATTTATCAGCGACCTCCGCGGTTCCCCGTTGCCCGTTGTTCGGCAGCGCCATAAGCTGCGTTGTGAGTTTTACGACAATGTGAAATGCGGGACATTTTCAAGATTTGGGAATTTCTTGCGGGACGCGGGACACGAGCCCTCAATGCGGAACAGTCCCGCGAGTCGCGGGACGGGTGGTCACCATATTGAAGCCCTTAAAGTCATAACCCTGGGAAAATAGCGCCATTGCCTTCCCTACCTGCTAGCCGGACACAAACAGATACTAACATACAGACCACCAAAACCTCGCAAGGCGATTGGCTAAACTGTCTACGTTGCCATGGAAATCACCATCTCGGTCCATTCAAATCTTCGAAGCTTTCAGATGGTCGTTCTAAACCAGTCGCTTCAAGAGCACCATGGAGCATTGCATTGGAAGCGTTCCTCACCAATATAAGCGTCTTCGGCACAGTGTGTGCAATCGACTTAGCAATCACACCCATCTCCACGGATCTGTAACAATTATATTGTTGTTCTTGCGTATTTCAAAACGGTAAGATTATTTTTCACTGCCTCCAAGCACAGACACAGCATGTGGTGGTGGTACGGAAATGTACGCTTGTTTCGCCGGTGTGTGGAAAGCAAAATCTCGGTATATAAGAAACGTCTCCATAAAGCTACCCGTCACCAGCGAATTTAGATCGGCTCATTAGGAACGGAGGGGTCAAGGAGAAATTGCTAATTTGACGGACCAAGATGGCGACCACACGGGGAGCTTGGCGCTACTTTCCCAGGATCCTGTGACTTTAGAGGCCCCAACGTCGGCGATGCATTCAAATCGACTTTTTTTCAAAGGTCGAAGCCGTCTAGCGGCAGTCTAAAAAGCTTCAATATTGCCGGTCTAATGGCGGTGATAGGAGAACAAGCTCGCATTAATCAAGCACCTTGGACTTCGCGAATCAAAAGCGACGCAAAAGAACCAAGTTCTTGGAATAAATTCTTCTATTTAGCTTTGTTCTTTCGAAGACGTTCACTTTTCCTGGTGTGGGGAGAAGCTCGTACTGCTACCAATAGAGCGTCAGGTTTGGCTCTGACGGGGTGCACCTAGACTGCCGTTTGAAAAGGGTGTAGTGGGGTCTTATTGCTGGAGGGTGCCATGAAACGCTGCGCTTTCTTTAAATGAGTCTGTAATGCATCACGCTCATGCTGAGCGAGTATCAAACAATCTTTTATATTTAATTAGACTGTAATTACTCAAGTTTTAGTAATCTGGGTGCGAAAATAGGACGGTCAGTTTTTGTCATTTCTTTCAATGCATCTTTCCTTTTTTCTTTTTTTTCTTTGGAGTTTTGTAAAAAGCGTCTCTGCAAGCCCTTTGCTTAGACCGGTGCTACAGCGTCGTCTTGGCTCACAATATATTTATTGTTGCATTTTTATGCGCCTTGAATGCTATCAGGATCGGACACTACAAAGAGGGAAACCACCCTACGAATTACATTGAGACACCCTAAATATGCACATATGTCCCATGACCCTGTTTCTGTGCGGCCCGTAGTTCCCAGAAAAAAATGTTTGGATAAGTTTCTGGGATTTACCCAGTATAAGCATATGCTGTGAATCTACTGTACGAAATAAAACATGAATACGTATTTTCGCATCCCATGTACTGTCTACTTTGTCAAAGTTCAACTATTTGCACATCTGATTTTGTTTTGTTTTCTCTTCAGGGTACTTCAGGGACACGTTGGGAGATTACCGGGGACTCTTCTGGCTCCTCGGAACATTGTCAGCCTGCAACGTCATCTTATGGTGCTGGCTCTATTGGAAAGAGAGACAAGTATGCAACGTCCGTAATTTAGTCAACGAACAGCGCCAGATGAATCATTCACAGGCTTGACAGGTTACCGCAAGTTTACCCTTACCATACTCGAGCAGTTCACAAATCAGCGTTATCTTATACAGATCAATAAACGAACATAATTCAAGAGGACAACCTAGGTGTATTTCCTATAAAGTCGGTTACAAATCAAGAAGGTAGGAGAAGCTCCGCCACAAGCGTGATGCGCCCGTCGCAAATCCCTCCGCAGTCGAAAGAAGAGTTCACTGGAAACGCTCCCTGTTCCGCTTCAATGGATAGATAAAGGCCACAGAGTGGTACCAACTTGTCTTCGACCCCCACTTTTTAAGAAAGCGACCTTTGTATTCATAGGAGGGGGAACCGAGCGCCTGAAAGCAGCCTTTATGTCGATCGGAGGGGGAAGCTGATCCCCGAAAGTCGTATTTGTTTCCATCGGAGGGGGAAAACTCTATAATCTCCCTCTCGTGGCTTCCACAATGCTAAGTCAAAGTCGAACGATAAAGCAAATATCTACAGAAAGGCAAGACCCTCCTCGCGCGTTGGCCGCGACGTCACGGAAGCGATGGGACGCTATTAGATGCGGAGGTGGCGGAGGGATATATGATTCCCTTTGAGCGGCACTTGCCGCTACCTTCTTAACCTGTAACTTACTATAGGTGAAATCGAGACCCAAGAGAAAAGCTAACCGCGCCTAAAGTTTGCCCTATAGGCTCACCGGACAATGGCTCCCTGATAATATGTTCGCCGCTTCATCAGTACCTCCAGACAAAAGCTGAATGAGCGAAATGTTGTCGAGAAAACTTGTATGCTCAAAGAGAAGGCAGTTTTAGCAGAGCGCTACTACATTCTCTCACAACCCGCGAGGTGAGTCCTGGCGCGCACTGAAGAGCATGCTTCAAAGCCACAGCGTGAGCTCACCTGGTACCAATGCAATACCACCGAGAAAAGCAGGCCTGCGACTCTCCCTTCCCCTCCCTCTCAAACGTCATCACGACCACTGCCACACCTCCACTCTACCAGCAGGTATTGAAGAGCTACCAGCATTTCTTTCTTTCTCGCTCTCTCCCTCTCTCTTACTCTTTCACTGGTCTTCCCAGTATCACCTGGTGGATGCCCCGAGAGCATGGAGGGGAACAGGAGTGCAGTACGTTCCCATTTTACGTTGTGAGCTTCCGGCGTGGCATTTTAAGATTCTTACAAATGGTTAGAGCCCTGCATATCCGCGGATTACCTGCGGATATCCGCAGTAAACTGGCGGATGCGGATAAAAATTAATCAGATTTGGCGGATTGCGGATCAGATACGGACAGCTGGGGGTCCAGATCTACATTTTAGCCGAGGTAGTCCATAAACTTGTGCGACCGCACCGTTTATGGACCATCGAACGTATTGCGGAAGCAAACTACTCTCTTAGATAAGAGGTGACAATAGGAAAGAAAATTATTTTTTTACGTCAAGAAAGATTGCCATTGTTGTGATTGTTGCCATTATTGAATATTGTGATATTTTCCTAGTGGTATACTCGCGCCTTACCACATATACTCGAGTACATGGCTGCAGTGAGTCAGCGTCTTTCCCCTCACTCTTTTTTTTTATTGTTTGGCCTAAATAAATTGACAAAATGTTATTAGTCTGTCCTTTGTTAATTTTCATGTTCATAAAATATGCTCCTGCTTGAACTGGGTTTGACAAAGCAAAAAAGGAAAATAATTATTGAACTTTCCTTTCCTTTGGGGGCATCTTTGGACAGAGTGTAAGTGTCAGGGACTCCCAAGACGATCTCATAACTGCGATCACATTTCCAGCGATGCGAAGTGTCTCTGGAAGGGTGATTGCTTATTTTATAACTGCGATAAAACAGAATATGATAAAATTACTTTCACCGTACTCTACAAAGAGCTTTTTTTTTTTTTTTTTTTTTTTTGCACAAAGGTAAATGACAGCTTATGGTATACCATCCAGATGCTTCTTTAAATTTTTATTCATGTTTGATTTCATGATGTAAAATGAATGTGCAGATTGAAAATCGGATGCGGTTCGAATGCAGGTACGAGATCGGATGCGGATGATTTTCCGCGCAGGGCTATAAAAATGTCTCATTGGCTCACAGAGTCACAGTCTTTATTCTGTCCCAGGTTATGGTGAAAAAAGGCATATGCCGAGCGTCGGCGAGAAAACCTAACCCGGATTTTCGCACTGTAAAAATAAACGAGACATTGTGAAGAGCTCAAACTCCGTCAGAACGTAGACGCCAAAGTTTCAGCATCGACTAGTATATTATTCAAAAGTTAATAATGATTTTCTGAAATTACTAATGGGGAAATGGGGACCATTTTCGCCCGTTTTCGGTATTAAAGAGCTCCGTCGGCCGGTTTTCTCGCGGACGCCCGGCATTACATCTTACTTCGTGAAAATTGAATGGCCTTGGCGCCGACACGCTTTGCGCAGCTGGAACGGCTGGACCCGCGAAGCCTCGCGGGTCCAGCCGTTCCAGCTGCGCAAAGCCAAGACAGCGGAGGCAACCGTCTCTGCTTTTTTAGGCAAATCCGGTATCTCGGTGCGCGGGCGGCAGCCCTAGTTCTCTCGGCGGCCGCGAAAGCGCGACAGGGCGGACAGCGCGACGCATGCGGCGAAGTGCCTAGACCACTAGAGGAGGTTTTGCCGCTCTAGGCGCGGTGCCTAATGCAAAGGAACGGAGTAAAATGTATTCTCCTAGTAAACTGTATTTAACATAGTCATATTTTTCTTCTTTTTTGTGTGTGTGGGTTTTTTTGTCTGTTTGTGTGTTATCGTGGCACACCGAAAGGCATGAAGGCTAGCTACGTCGCATTGGTTCATTTGTCGGCGAAAGTGGGTAAGCAAGCGACGTTAATTTCCCCGTGATTTTAAACAGCACAACAACTGGCTGGTTCGTGTTTTAGGAAACCAGAAAAAAAAGCATACACGACCCTCTACTCAAGATGGACTCGGGCGTAATCTCATCGCAAGTAAAAGGTCGTGTATGTTTTTTTTTTGTTTTTTTTTGTTTTTTTTCCTGGAAATTAAACCAGTCAGTTAGTCAGCATTCGTGTCATCCAGTTTCTGGCTTCGTCTGTGTCTGTCGCGTTGTTTCAATTATGAGCATGACACGGTAACGCTATCTCGCGGTTCTCGAAACCGGCACACAGGCGCCGTTGCACACGCGCCAGATTGCAGTCGCCATTTGTGACCTTCTCTTGACTTCCCCAGATGCCGAGACAGTGAAGCGGGCTTGGACGAGCTTCTACAAAGGCTAATGCTGGGAAGAAGGACGCAGTAGAATCTAATATGGCAATAACCTGACCTGCTCGGGTAAAGATGAAGTGAAGTAAAGGGAATAAGAGGAAACAAAAACTGAAGGTCGGTTATGGCGGAGCCCATGCACTCCCAGCTTTCTTGTCCACTTGCGCCCTCTCTCGCCTGCTCTCCGTAAAACGCTCTAAAAAATTAATTCCACTCGAAAAACTGCGTATACGAAAATGACAATTAGAAATTCGAATCAAATGAATGTGCACTTTCTTTCCTTAGCCAAACAATATTTTTTTCTTCTTTTCTCTTTTCTTTTTGCGTCGAGTTCTATGGACTCACTTTGAAAAAATATTGAATATCTTTTCACCATAAAAAAGAAACGTAATATTTCCGGAGTTTGTAATAGCGTAGGACTCTCATCACGCGTCTAAATTAAATCTTTACTATTGCCATGAATCATTTTTGTTCCTCGGGACCTTTTTTTGTTTTATTTTCCCTTTCCGCATATACATGGCGGTCGCATTGTTAATTCACGTTGAGAAGCAGGGGCTCTTCTGTTTTCCTTACTATGGGTAGCGCAGGTGCGGTTATATTTTAATTTTCATAGTTGTGATATATCGCGAGTATGACCCAGTTGCAGCCGTTAGTCGCTCGACTCGTTCGTTTTAATCATGGCTCCCGACTGCTCCCGACTGACCGAGACCCGTGCTCTTTCAAACCGCGCGCTCTCAGCACGCGGGGACCGCGTGCTTCCCAACATGTCCCGCCATCTGCTATAGCATAAGCAGATACATCACAATAGTGCATAGAATCTTGGCCTTGCACCAGCAGAGGATGTTGAAGTATCCACACTCAGTGTTGTGAAAAAATTCCACCAGGTGGCGATACCCAAAGTTCTCGCCGCGAATGGTGTATACGAAAGGAAGTCGGAGATAAACCAACGCCTTCATTTCTATTCCGCTCACCTTTAAGCTGAGACAACGCCTCCTGCACTAACTACAAGAGGCGGATGCTGAGACTGCAGCCAATGCCACAAGGACGAAAGCTCGAGCTCGTCGCTGCTTGTATCTATGTAAGCGTTCAAACATATTTTAAACCAAGGGGAAAAAAACAGGACAACCCAGTAGGGTGCCTAGATGTCTGTCTGTCTCAGGGTGAAGACATCCATTGTTGTCCGGAATGTTCCAGCGCGTGACGCTCTCGCGCACTCGGTGCGTGACTTGGGCGGTAAGATGGCGTCTGTGCATCAGCCAAGCTACGCGCTCGAGCTGAGTGACACCGGATTGCGCGCACTTCAAAATGCATAAAAAAAACGATTGGGCGGAAAAATGGCTGAGATGTCACCACTCAAGCAAAAGCGCGCGTGTGTATGAAGGCACTCTAAAACCCAGAACAGTGGGGCGCCACTCGCTCTAATGGGGGGGGGGGGGGGGGGGGGGGGGGGGGGGGGGGGGGGCTGCCAGTCCCGGTCTAAGCAAGAAAAAAAAAATCAAGGAGGAAAAGGAAAGGCTCGAACAAGGCACACACAAATCAAAAAGATAGTCAGCGACGTCTAGTCACGGTGCGTCTATACTTCGTTTCAGTTTCGGTCCAGACGCAGCCGATGCTACAAGCAGGAGCATGTGGCCCAGAACAGTGCACGCTTGCACTGCACGAGCGCGCGTGCTTGGCAGGGATGCTGAAAGCCCGGAGCTCGCGCTAGTAGCTTTCGCTGCGTCTGGACCGAAGCTGAAACGAAGTATAGTCTAGCACTGTCAGGTCTGCCATCTCAA